ATTTTAGATGGGGGCATGGAGCCCATTGCATAAGAAATTTTTATTTTTTAAAAAAGAATTATTTTAACACTAAAATTTAGTTGGGGGCATTGGCCCCCAATTGTGTTCAAGTAGGTCCGCCCCTGGATGAAACTGACTAAGAGAGATGGTGGTGTAGTTTGGGTGAACTTTAAATATGAACGTCTGAATGGTTTTTGTTTTTGCTGTGGAATAATGGGCCATATAGCAAAACATTGTCGTGATGCGGCATTGTCAGATTTGGAACCAGAGGAATACCTTTTTGACGCATCTCTCCGGGCAGGGGGAAGGAAAAAGGATACTAGTTATGGTCTACAATGGTTGCGCTTTGACAATCCACTATTGGGGGAAGGTGCAGGACCTTTTGTGTCGGCTGCTACAAAGAGTAACTCACATGACGAGGATGGCTTGGAAATTGCCTCAAAATGGAAAAGGGGTTCGGATGAAGTGATTGTGGTTCCTTCGGGGGTGGATACAACCATGACAGATTTCTCAAAAAACGTACAGGCGGCGGGTTCTGGGTTCCAGGCCTGCCGAGAGCAATGAGTATCATCAGCTGGAACTGTCGCGGGCTGGGCAACCTGCGGACAGTTTAGGAAGTGGCGGAGCTCGTCTTCGCTAAAAAGCCTGATTTTGTTTTTCTGATGAAAACAAAAGGTGTTCGTGATAAGGCTGAAGTTATTGGTGTTAAGATTGGTTTTGAGGGATTGTTTGCGGTGGACAGTGTTGGTGCAAGTGGTGGTTTAGTGTTACTCTGGAGGTCAAACCACTCGGTTAATCTCAATAGTTACTCACGATTTCATGTTGGTGTTATGGTCTCTTTGGGAGGTGCTCTCCCTTGGAGGCTCACTGGATTTTATGGGAATCCTAGAAGAGATCTTCGACAAACCTCGTGGGATCTCCTTCGCTCATTAAAGGCCAGATCTTCCTTACCATAGGTGGTCATCGGTGATTTCAATGCTGTATGTGCTTCTTCAGAGAAGAGAGGGGGTCAGCCTCAACCACTTTCGTTGATTTCTGCTTTTAATTCAACGTTGGAGGAGTGTGGTTTGTTTGATCTTGTTATGCAGGGATACCCCTTCACGCGGGAGCGTGGTAGAGGCACGGAGAATTGGGTTGAAGAACGTCTGGATCGTGCCGTTGGTACATGTGAATGGCGTTTGCTTCATCCCCATGCTTGCGTAATAAATCAACCCATGCGGACATCTGACCATTCTGCTTTGGTTTTATGTCTAACTAAACCGTGTACTCAGCGGCGGATAAAATAGTTTCGGTTTGAAAATGCATGGCTTCGTGATGACGGCTATAAGGATGTGATCAAGGAGGCTTGAAATTCATCGTCAACACTTTCTCTCAAGGACAAGTTGGGTTATTGTGGTAAGAAGTTGATGGCTTGGGGGGTGATAAGATGCATAAATTTGGTAAACAGATTAAGCATTTAAAGGCTGAGGTGGAAAGATTAAGGGGGTGTCGTAGTGCTACGGAGTTGAGGGAGTTTAATCGACTTGACGGGGAGCTGTCGAAACTCTTGGAACAGGAGGATATTTATTGGCGTCAACGGGCTAAGCAACACTGGCTTCGGTCGGCGGATGCTAACACTAAGTATTTCCATCAATATGCATCTTATTAGAGAAAGAAGAACCATATTGCCCGGTTACGGGATGGTGCAGGACAGTGGTGTGAGGGTGAAGCCCTTAAGCTTTTGGTTTGGCATTATTTCAATGATATTTTTTACTCTATTGGGGCTGCTCAATCAGCTCTTTTTGACCAGATTACGCCGAAGGTTTCGTCAGTGCATAATGATATGCTTCTTAGGCCGTTTGAAGAAGTGGAGGTTCGAAAGGCGCTTTTTGCAATGCATCCGGACAAATCACCAAGACCTGATGGGATGAATCCGGGATTTTTTCAAAAGACGTGGGACATGGTTGGTTCAGAAGTTACGAGATTTGTTCTTTCATGTCTGAATGAGGGAGTTTTCCCAGACAATCTAAATGATGCGAATATTGTTTTAATTCCGAAGAAGGACATTCCTGAGACGGTTGCAGACTTAAGACCCATTGCCTTGTGTAATGTTGTTTACCTTTGGTCAATCGTATGAAGTTTATGCTCTCGGATATTATCTCTCATACTCAATCAGCCTTTATATCAGGGCGCTTGATCTTAGATAATATTCTTCTTGATGTAGAGTTGGGTCAATTTCTTCATCGGAAGCAAGGGGGAAACACTGGTTGGGTGGGTCTTAAGTTGGACATGGCTAAAGCGTATGATATGATGGAGTGGAATTTTTTGCGTACTATGCTGTTGAGGTTGGGCTTTGATCAGAGATCGGTTAATCTTATTATGATGTGTGTCACCACTGTTAAATATAAGATTTCGCTGAATGGTGAATTTACAAAACCTATCACCCCGAGCAGAGGGCTCCGTCAAGGCGACCCGCTGAGCCCTATCTTTTTATTATTTGTGCTGAGGGTCTTTCGTTACTTTTACAGGATGCGGAAAGACGAGGTTCAATTCATGGGATCTGAGTTTGTATAGGGGCTCCGCCTATCTCTCATTTATTCTTTGCTGATGATAGTCTCTTGCTCTTCAAGGCTTCTCCTAATGAGGTGTATGCAGTGAAAGATTGTTTGGTTGAGTATGAACGGATCTCAGGCCAGGTTATCAATTTTCATAAGTCCAATGCTTGTTTCAGTCTGAATGTCCCCCCTTTGTTGAAGCAATGGGTTACCTCTTTTTTTGGTGTCACCCCAGCCCATAACTTTGGGAAATATTTGGGTCTTCCTTCATTCTAAGGAAGGGACAAAACGGGGGTTTTTACTTACATTCTTGACAAAATTTGACATCGTATTGGTGGATGGAGTAAAAAGTTGCTCTCTAAAGCCGGGAAAAAGATCTTGCTTAAGACTGTTGCACAAGCTATGCCTCAATTTGCTATGAGTGTGTTCCGTCTCCCTTTGTCTGTTTGTGATCGTATTGAGAAGTTAATGAATTCCTTTTGGTGGAGGGGAGGTGGGTCTAATGCCTCGGGAATTCATTGGATGTCATGGGATAGGTTGTCTGTTCCTAAAAAGTTTGGGGGTTTGGGCTTCAAAAATATTCATTACTTCAACATTGCCATGTTAGGTAAACAGGGGTGGCGGTTCTTGACCAAACCTGAGGCCCTTGTGTCATGGGTTTTCAAAGCTAGATATTTCCCTAACTCTACATTCCTTGAAACAGGTTTGGGGTCTACTCCAAGTTACTGTTGGTTAAAGCGGGGGTACGCAAGCGTATTGGGAATGGGGTCGAAACGATGGCGTGGGGTACTCCGTGGTTGTTGGACCGGGATAACCCGTTTCTTCACACTGTGTTAGCTTCACCAAGTGCTAACTTGCCGGTGCAGATGATTCCTTGTTGCTCTCGGCGTAAAGATAGTTGGTTTTGGATTGGAAGTGGGGACAACGTTTACTCAGTGAAGTCGGGGTATCGTAGGATTATGGGGGAGGCTACCCAAACTACAGGATTTTCATAATGGAGCCGGCTGTGGAGGATTCCAGAAGCTCCCAAAGTAAAGGTTTGTGTTTGGCATGCACTTCGAGGTATCCTCCCAACGGTTTCAGCCTTAAATTCCAAAGGTTTGGAGATTGATAATTGTTGTTCCATTTGTGGCCAGTTGAGTGAAGCAGTGGATCATTTGTTTCTTCTTTGCCCGTTTGCAGAATATGTGTGGGAACACAGTAGTTTTCGGGTGGCTAATCGATCGGCGGTAAGTTCGTTCTCGGACTGGGTTCAGTTTGTGTTTCAAACGGCCACGTCCGGTGAGTTAATCCCCATAGTCTGGACAATTTGGATGATTTGGAAGTGTAGGAATGCAGCTGTATGGGAACAACGGGTGCCAACCCCAAAGGCAACAGTTCGCATGGTGCTGAATTTTTTGAAAGAGCGTGAGAATAGTCATAGAGGGGATCCCCCCATCTTATCTCCTCCGGTAGAGAGGGTTCTCCCCCACTGAAGCTGCCCATTGTTTTTTTGATGCTGCTTTATTCCCTACTTCGGGTTTGGTTGGTGCTGGTGGAGTGGTTTTCTCCTCTTCTAAGGATTTTCAAGCGGCTTTTGCTCGACGATTGTGGTGCCCGCAAGATCCGTTGTTGGCAGAAGCTATGGCATGCCGGGAGACTTTGTCTTGGCTCAAAAGTCTTGGAGTCCAGGTTGCTGTTATTTTTTCTGATTGTTTTCGTGTCGTAGAGGCAACCAATGATAGTGGTGTGTTGGATTGTGCTTCTTATTTCGGGTCTTTGATTGATGACTGTAAGGCCCTCATGGCCTCATTTGAATCTGTTTTGGTTTCTCATGTTCGTAGAAATCTCAATGTGGTAGCGCATACGTTAGCTAGGCGGGTGATTGGGATTTTGTCCCCCTTGATTTTCCTATTTCTCTTTTGAATTAATGAAAGTTGTTTGTTCTCAAAAATTTAAGGTCTAAAGAATAGACTCTAAATCAACAAGATTTCAAACTCGTGGATTTGGATATACCTTCACTTCGCGAAGCATGTTAGATTTTCAAAAGTTCGCTACAATTGCTTCTAGCTGGTGAAATTGGTTTGAGAAATCTGAATCTCGATTGAAATTGTTTGGTATATAGTTTTTAATGTGATTTTTGAGGTTTTTTTTCAATTTTGTCATTGTTGTTGATGATGTTGTGAAGATGTAAAATGCCTATCAATCAATGTATATGTAAAGTCTTGTTAACGAAGAAAATTTTTGCTCGAAATAGGTAAATGTATGACTAACTTTTTTCCAACCAACCAAGTACATATGACTTTATAAAATGAATAGTTTGCTAGACATTTTTTTTACAATTGAAGGCTCATATCTTACAATATGGACTTGTTTACTCTTTTATACTTTCAAATTATTCCAAAAAATAAGGTTAGAAGGCTCATAACTAAACTCATAGACCTTAGGTCTATAATAACACAACTCCAATTGAGTGCATTGTGATATCCAAAGATATCAAATCCAAGGCCCATTTTCAGATTATAAAACATATCTCTTGCGCTCACCAAACAAGCTTTAAATAGAAAAACTAAACTACAAGGCTAATACCGAAATGCTTTTTTTTTCTGGAAAATGACACAACCATTCACTATGACAAGTGTCCCACCCAGTTAAAGAGTACTACGGTACAATATAATTGGGGAGTTACAAAAACCTATAGAGCAAAATGGCATGGGTGTGGTCATATCGTACACACACACACACACACACACACACACACACACACACATATATATTAATGCAGACTCAATCTAGCCTTGATTCCATTTTCTTTATGGCTTCTTCAATTGCAGGAATGTTCTTCTTGAAGCAAGCCCATTGCTCAGCAGTTAAGCTTATTCCTGTGGAAAGCAATACGACAAGACTGCCAGTTCTTAATCGTTGTGTCGTTTAATATATATTGGAAATAGAATGCAGAAAACAATCCAGTTGCATCCTACAAAAGTGGGGTCTATGGAGGGTAAGTGTATGCAGAGGGAGGTTGTTTCCAAAGAGTCCCCCGGCTCAAGCACCACAGATAATCACGTATGCAGCCTAACCCATTTGTTTAAAACATAGAGCAGCTATTTCCGGATGACCCGTAATGTGCGTCAAAAGTTGCATTGACTAACTGCTATTTCACTAATAAAAGAAGCACAAACAGTTTAAAGAACCATTTTGTTTTATTCCATCATACCCCAAAGGCAAAAGAAGCGTAGACAGTTGAAATATGAAATTGAATACGAGCAACAAAAGTGGGAAAGAGGCAAACATTTCATTGTTACCTTTAGTTGTTGGGAGTTCTTTCCCATCTTTCCAATAGTATTCTCTAATGGACACCAGAGACTTCCCTTTGAAATCAGTTATGGTCACCCTTCTCTTCTTAGTCAACTACACAAAGGTTCAACAAGCCAAATGCCAATGAATGTTTTTGTATTATACACCAGGGAATTAACCATAAACCGAAATCTAGCATTACTAAAATATGCAAAATATAAGACATTCAAATATCCAATCATCCTGCTACCGAGAAGGTTGATTGCTTCCACTCTCAATGGTGCAGTAATCAAAGCCACGTACCCTGCCCCGCCCCCATATTTCTTATTCACTCTCCAATTTTTTTATCCACGCTAAATAATGTGTGGTGTGGGGAGGGGTGGTGTTCAAATTGAGGTGCACATAGCATTTTTGTAATTTTATGGTCTGCTTGAGAACATAGATTTGGATTTCAAATTCAGACTTGACCTAAATTACATGTTTGGAAATCCAAAAAAAAATTGGATATTTGACCCCTCTTACTCCCAACAAAGCTCAACTACAAACACATACACTCCTTGTAATTTGAAATCCAAGAATTCAAGTTTTAGAATTGAATACCAAGAACTCAAAGAAAATCCATTGTGATGCATATTTGGAGGAGTAAAAGCTCCGATTGGAAGGCAGGAAAAATTTACTTGGCAAATAATGAGGCCGTCGTCGCTGTACACTTTGCCGGATCCGCCGGCACCGGCCGCTTTGCCCGATCTGACCACAACATACTCTTCGTCGGATCCGTCAGCGCCATGCCCTTTGTCTGATCCGTCGGCACCACTTTGGGGCTTTTTCTCCTCCGATTGCTCTTCACGCCCAGCATCCTCTTCCTCGCCGCCTTCTTGGTTAGCTTCCTCCTCCGGTTGATTTTCGAGGTATGAATTTACGACCTGGCGAACAAACATCTTCTTGATCGGATCGGAGAGATCAATACCTAGCTTCTTTGATGCCGCTTCACGAACCATGAACTCCGTCATTTCGTCCATGTTTGAAGATTTTAGGATTTCCACAACTGTTTCAGAGATTCTGGTTTTAGTCTCAAGATCCATGTATAAGAAAAGAAAAAACTTCTCGGATTGAGCTCGTTAGAATTTTATTTCTGATGATTGGATGGCGGCAGCAGATGTTCCTCGTGCTTGCTGGCTTAATAGCTGAATCGGGTGCAGTGAGAATGAAAACCCTAAAAACGGAAATGAAGAAAGGATTGTTATTAATTTGTAACTACTAGATTTTCCATGCACAATCAGAATAATATAATAATAAATCACTTTATTTGTATAGCGAATAAATTTTTTAAAATGTGTTATTATAGTGAAAAATACAATTTAATATATATCACACCCGAAAACTGCATATATCGAACAACAATGCACATTGTAGTTTTAGATCATATAAGAGTGTATTACATATAAATAAATTAAACATATAAGAATCCGTTATAAATTCTGGAATACCTCTTTATATACAATATTTGAAGTGTAGTCCAAATCATTATTTTCTTCATCACAGCATAGGATCTTCAGTCCTTCACAATTTGTCACACGGGAGAGAGCAACATATAGCTGACCGTGACTGAAGACTGGTTTTTTAAGTAGTAGCCCAACATGCGATAAACATTGACCTTGACTTTTGTTAATGGTCATTGCATAAGAAGTCATGACAGAAAATTGTTTTCTTTGAAACTTGAAAGGAATTTTTTTATCCAAAGGAGTCAATGAAAGGAAGTAATGGTCCAAAATTACTTTTTTAAAATTAAATATAAACAATAAAATCACAATAGGTAAAGAAATAGTTAGATAAATGATGTGTGTACAAACATTTATTCACACTGCAGAGCTTTTCTTTATCTTTCAGATTAGGGTCAACACCACTTCTAGCTACATCCATGGATTGACGTTCAGATTCTTGATAGCATCGGAAGTTAGAATACATAGAATTCGTATCAATTGAGCGCAAGGGACGCATCGAATTAGGGGTATGAATTGATGTTCCTGAAAATATTAATAATCATTAAAAAAAGAGTAATAAAATATTACATTAAACTTATGTAAAAAATATATTAATATAAACTAAAGTACATATACCATGAGGGAAATTTGCAGATTTGTTTGAGCAATATTGCATCCACGGGTCGAATTGAACTCAAAAACCCCTGATGATGGTTTTGATCGAATTACCCGTTCATTTTCTGAAAAACAATCCACCATTAAAATTTAGTATTCTTAAATAATATAAAGATTTATATTCATAGTCTGATATCAATGTGTTTTAATATAATATATTCAAAATTAAATTAGAATTTTAGAATATAATATTACATAAATGACCTAAAATGTTTTTTTCTACATTATCTAGTGTATAAATTTCCTAACCCAAACCCATAATCCAACCCAATTGCCCAGCCCACCCAGCCCAGTGTAATATCCCAGCCCGCCACCCCTCACACTATACTAAACCAAGCCCATAAGTCCAGCCCTAAATAATAAACCCTTAATATTTCTACCAGCCCCCCCTAACGCCGCCTCACTCGCTCTCTGTTAGGCCCCCACTGCAAATAAATGGAAAGAAAAGAAAAGAGAGCACACAAATT